TTCCTKTCCCCAYKTTTTCAAGATAACAAGGCCTTGATGCTTTCGTTGTGTAGTAGACCTCAGTGGGAGCTTATTCTTGTATTTGATAGTACAAGAACAGCCAATTCATTTGGAATTCAAACGCAGGAATGCACAGAAATTCAACCTGAGAATAAACAGATATGGGATTTTTCGTCTCACTAATGTAATTTATAATGGAACATTTTAGTTCAGATTATTGGACGATAATACGCATATGTATAAATATTTTTTGTTGGTATGTAGTTAATTCAGGAACCCAGGGTTCCAGCCAGACGAAAATGCTAATCGAAGCAATGGACTGCCGAAGGTCCTTGTTTAGCGTAGCCACTGAAATAGATTCAATCCGATTTCTTATGCATAAAATGCCAACAAACAATTAGYATTTTAGGAACTTTTCTAGGAATTGTAAATTATGTCTTTTATAGAATTTTGTAATATGATTTTATTATATTATATACCTTGTATCCATAACATAATGAACGAAGACCCTTATCTAGAYCGGATTAAAATACGGTGACGGTGATAGATTCTTGAATCACTAATTTCGTGCGGTGCTCCAATCGGCCTTAGGGTGACTTAAGACTGACTTATTGTTCAAAATGATTGTCAAAGATATGATAAAAGACCTGAAGTTTTTGCATATTTTAATACATACAGTATAATATAATATTTTAATATACATGTATATAATGTAATATTTTTATTAAAAATTAAAGGCCCCCTATTGCATACGAGAATATGTGCGATCGTTTGTTTAATTTAAAAAAAAAAATCTGAATTAGACCTGGTCGTCCATAAATTATCGAGGGCGGTTTTCCCTATTTGAATAAAAGAGGGCAAAGATTCTCGGATGCACGGTGGAATTTTAGATAATAGGAAAGGAAGAGATAAATATAGAGAGGATTTTACATGGGCGCGTGAAGATACGGATTTTATCATTGTTGATATATAGAGATACCACGAATGTGCTATTTTCACTAGTTTAAGTTGTTTTCCATAACGCATCGAATAGCGATTGTTAAACTAGTATGAATGCTGCAATAAATATACAATTGCAGGTGGTTGTAGTCATCTTTAGAACGAAATGGTTTGATTATAGAGCGGATTTCGTATGAGTGGGAAACGGACGGTACTGTACTGTGACCGTAATCGTACTGTAACCAAATTCTAGTGCCCCACTGGTTCACCAAAATTGTGCAGGCCAGGTCCGGTAACTGTGCGGTAACCGTGCGGTAACGGTGCCCCACTCATGCGAAATCGGCTCTATTTGTTCTGAAACCAGTTGTACAAAGGGTGGATGAATGATCGATGAGATAAAGTTATCCACTCCAGATTTTGTATAGATTTTATTATTTTCTTTTTTTCCATTTTATCCGCTCCCATCTCTACTGACCAAATAATATGCCTTTTTAGAACATTTATGTAAAAAGATAAATTTAACATAAATAACTTATGACGTTTCGGACCTTTCGGCGGCTGACCATTGTTCTTGCACATGATAATAGAAGAAACTAAAGTTTTGAGCAACCAGTCTCAAGCGTCTCCGAATGCAGTAGAGAACACTTTATTGCGTCGGTGCGATTATATTAGATTTCTGCCATCAAACAGAGGCAGCAACAGACTGAATTCCAGCACAACTGAACTCTAGCTTGTTGAAACAGTTCTTGTATTCTTGTTTAACACTACTTCTAGTCGTACAAAGTGCTTCCCTGAATCAGGGTCTAAAGGTTAACCGACTAGCGACAAATGGACAAAATAACTACTGACTAGCGACAAATTTGAACCAAATTTGCTGACTACCGACATTAACAAATTTACTGACTGGCGACATTTTCCAATATTCAAAGATGTTAGCTACGTGAATACAAACTTTTTTATTTTTCAAGCAACTACATTCGAGATTTTCGCGGAAAAAATAAATTTTGCTTCGGATTGGCTTCTTGAAGTTGTAATGAGCCACTCTAAAACTTTAAGGGCATCCAATTGACCAATCAAGACTCAATTGTTGGCATTTTAGAAAGAATTCTGTTGGTATAAAGCACCGTTTTAGATGCATTTAAACTTAATGTTTATCAACTTTTTTTAAATAACCGACTACCGACAAATGCCTAGATTAACTGACTAGCGACAAATACTTGAAATTTTAACTGACTACCGACATCGAGACCCCTGGCTTCTTGAAGTTGTGATGAGCCACTCTAAAACTTTAAGGGCATCCAATTGACCAATCAAGACTCAATTGTTGGCATTTTAACGGTAACGATTTCTTTCTCTCCTGTTTTTCCAGGTTAACCATACCTTGACTGAATGAAATCGCGTAAAAATACAATTGATGAAAAATACATGAAAACAAAAAAAAGAAAAAAATAATTGCGCACTTTATTACTTTGTTACTAGCTTTTTGTCATTACTACGCGAGACCTGGACAAATTTCAGATACTGAATTTATGTCAAGAGTATCAAACGCTTCGTCCTTCAACCTTTCGCGGCCAAAAAACGGGAGAAATGAAACGATTAATATCATGAATTCATGGATAACTTCATATTTTTTATCAAATGTGGCAAATGCCCAGTAGTTATGTTGATCTCGAGTGCTTTTCGTTTTTAGTTC